CTAAGTGAAGGGTCAGCCACCACAACGTCTGCCTTGCCCAGTATGACATTTCATGCAGCTTGGCCTGGTGTGCACAGGGCTTCAGGGGTTCTGAGCTATGATCTGGACCTGGTGGTTCTGAGACTCTATTCTGGACAGAGGAGCCATAGACATCAAGAAACTCACTTTGTACGTTGAGCCAATTCTGGCCATTTCTTTGTGATGAACTGGGAAGGGATAAGTGGTAATATGTGGAAATATAACAGCAAAGAGCTCCAGGAATTATCTTTTCCAACACGAGTCCTGAGTGCTAGCTGGTATTAAACTCTGCCCCCCATCTCTAAGCTGCTGAATTGTGCTCTGCTGAGACATTCCCAGGGGAGCTCCTCACCCTGGGAGACACTTGTTCTGTCCTTGGGTAGCTCTGTGGCTAGAAAGGGCTTTCTGGCCAAGCTGTGGTGACACAAAATAACAGATGGTTCTTACTATGGTGATTTTAAAATGTCTCTACAATTTTCTGATACTCTTACCTTCAAAAGGTAGAGCCTGATTCCCCTTCATTTCAGTAAGAGTTGTGCCTAGTGATGCTTCTAACAAGGAGAGCCATTGTGTGATTTCCAAGGCTTGGTCATAAACATATTGGAGGCTTTCTTCTTCCTCTGCTTTGGATGGCTTGCTCTGGGAGAAGTTAGCCAGCCAAACTACCCCAAGATTCCTAGTCCTCAGAAACTTTGAATTGGTACATCTTTATTCTTGTCTTACAGGACCCTGAGGCCATCACTAAATTTTGGAATAATTTGTTACACAGCTATCGATAGCAGATACATTCATAGACAAGGTTGGGATTAGAACAAAAGCCAGATACAAATCATCCAATATGGAAAAATAAGAAAATGTAATATACTTCCTTTAGCTTCTCTTCAAAACATAAAGCATAGCTACTGACAGATAGTGGGAGGAAAAGTGGGAAATCTGGACAACATCCCACCGGCATTGCACATTTCTCAGTGGGGGAGGGGGGCCATGTTTTCAGGCCTTCTTTGAGAAGCAAGGTCTATAGCAGGGCAGCTGGACTGGGAGTTGGGAGGGCAAATGAACCTGGCAGAGAAGTCCTTTTTGGTTATGGCATAGAATCGGTGGGGCCTACAAATGCCAGGCTTTTGGAGTCTGCTCCTGAGGACCACAGGGCTTCTTTCCATCCGTAAGTGGAGCTAAGATTGAAGTCCAAACCTAGCCCCATCCTTTCTCTGGTCCTCAGTTTCCCCACCTGTAAAAGGGGGCTGGGCCAAACATTTTCTCAGTGCCCTCCAGTCCCCACACAGGGGCCCCCTCAGTCTTCCTATCCCCACCGGGTGTCAGGGCAGCTTCAGGGGCAACAGAACAGTGCTTAGAGATAAAGAGGCGGGTAGAGTAAATAAACAGCCTCAGAGTCCTAGATTCCAAATCCCAGCCTGTGGCCAAGCCAGCCTGCCAGGCTCCCTGTCACCCTGGGTAGAACTCCCCAAGTCCCTTTCTTTGGCCGTATAAGGAGAAAGGAGGACAGAGTCTCCCTGCCACAGGTTACAAGCGCAAGGATTGAGGCAAAAGCTCTGGCCTCCAAAGACCTCAGTGACTAACGAAAAATGAGGAATAAATCAAATGGCACTCACCACCTCCTCTTCATCCCACTCCCCCTTCACCCCAGCCCAGGGCTGCGGCACCAAAAGGAGGGAGCTCTGCCCAGGCCTCCTAGGACACACAGAGAGGCATGGTGGCCCTCTTCCGAGGTGGGTCAGCAGGGCCCCTCACTGAGACTCACTTGCTCCCCCTCCCCATCCACCCCAGGTCCAGCTCCAGTCTGATGAAGACTGCAGTGAAGCAGGAGTACTCCCCATGAGCCCCCCTCACCCTGATGACCAGAGCCCCCCACTGGTCTTCCAGACCCCGGCATTTCCTCCCCACTCCAATCCTCTCCCAGCCAACTAGGGACCCAGAGTACAGCCTACAGCCCACTTTCCCTCAACCTACCCACTCAGAGCTCTTTGTGCTCCCAACCCTGTCTGGCTTTCCTGTGGGGGTACCAGGAGTCTTGCTTAAGTGGGCTCTATGGCTCTCCCCACTTTCTCTTTGTTCCCTACACCCGGGATACCATGGTTTCCATTTCACTTTCTGAGATTCTTTTCACCCTAAGGATTTATCACCAACTCTGCCTCCTCCTAGAAGCCCTCCTTGATCCCTGCTCCTGACTGAGGGCACTGTGGACCATTTGCCATCTGGCTTGCTGGAGTACCTGGTACAATGTCCTTCTCTGTATCGGCCTTCCACCCAGACAGTGTGAGATTCCTAAAGGGCAGAGCTGGAAGCTCACTCACATGCACACAGCCCAGCACAACCAGGCAAAATAGACAGATAAGAACAGCCAAGCCAGGCCACACAAAACAATTATTCCAGAAACGCAGACAGACACTGTGTGTAGACCTTGGAGTCCCACAGACCTGGGTTTGAATCTGCCTCTGTTGCTTACTAACCATGTGGTCTTGGGCAGGTCACATAGCCCCCTTGGTACCATTTCCTCATCTACCCACTTACAGAATCTCGATGAACATGAAATGAGATGACGGACATACAGCACTCAGTAAAGTTCCTGGCTCGTGGCACTTGCTCCATCACCGGCAAAGTAATTCTAAAAGTCACCAGCTTCAGAGTGTACATCTATTATCTTCTTTGAAATAGATTCTTATTATCCTCATTTTACAAGTGGGGAAACAGCCTCTGGGAAATGAATGTTCTTGCACCAGGGTGTTCAGCCAGGGAGAGATCAGCATTGGCTCTGTTGTGAGCAGCAAAGGCAAGGTGGGGAGCTCACTGTCAGCTGCTACCTCAATGACCCACGGTGAGGCCTCATGTCATCCTTGGCTAACTTCTGCCCTGGGAGTCAGGTTTCAGCTGACTCTGGGTAGACCCTGACTCCTGTAAGGCCAAACCCTGGGGTCACATGAGTTCCAAGCCCAGGCTTGACCCAGGGCTCCTGCCATGCCTGCTGCACACCTTTGTTCCATCTGTTCTGCTACTCCTGTCTCTGGCAGAGCAGAGTCAGCAATGACCAGGGGAAGGGCAGAAGGGGAGGGCGGGGAGGGGCTGGGGATGGTGAGGCCGTGCCAAGCCACTGGCAGGCAGGAGATGCAAGGCATTCAATGCAGCGAGTTCATACGACTCAGATGTTGCTGGCTCACGTAGCCTCTTAATATAAGCTAGGAAAATGTGCCCTCTCAGGGTGAGCAAAGCTCCACACTGAAGCACACAGCTTGGAAAATAAACTGTGCACTGCATTTTCCTCTGTCACCTCTTTGTGCATTGAACAATATGTACAACCACTCAGGGCATCCTCGCTTACAAAGCAGCCCTGCAGGGTCAGGTCCTGAGCTGGACACTGGGATATGAAGATAACTCAGACAGAGGACCAGGAATCCAAGGTGTTAGGGGAACACAGAGGAGGGAGCACCTAACTCTCTCTGGGCAGAAGCTTGGAGGAGCTGAAGGCTATAGAAGAAGCCAGTAGTCCATGGCTTCACCCCCTCCCCCAAAGCCTGCTATGTAGTGTTTGTCTGTTTCCACAGTGTAAATATTCCCACCCACCAGAGTGATTTCAAGGTACAAACATGCTATGTGCCATCACTGTGCAGTGAAGCTGGAGATTTGGGCACATCAATCATTGCAAGCTGGTTCCAGCTGCTCTAGAACACCATCAGGAAAAGAAGACTTCCACTGAACCCCGAGGAAAAGGAGCTTTCTCCAGGCAGGGAGGAGGACAGGGCCAGTGGGGGCAAGTTGTGAAGAATTTCAGAAGGGTTATAACTGGCAGGAGGCAGTCAAAGCCTTCTGGAGGCTGGTGAGGTTTTAGTTCTTGACCTGGATGTGGTTCACATGCCTGTTGTGATTTGTTAAGATACATGTTTACAGTTTATGCACTTCTCTGTCCAGCTGTCATGTATTACAATAAAAAAATTTAAAAGTACTGATAATCTCACTCAGGTGTGACCACTGTTTATAATTTTACAATATTTCCTTCCAATCTTTTTCATATATTTATACAACTATACACCCAAAAGTTTCATGTAGGGAAAACTCCCTGTGTTTCCTATCCAGTAAGAAGAAAGTATTTTAATCTTGGAAGCAACATGTGATAATGGAAGGAGTGTGGGTTTTGGAGTTCCAGAAACCTGGATTTAAATCCTGCTTCCTAAGTGCTAACTCTGTGACCCTGAGAAAGTTGTTTGCCTTAGCATCTATGGGTGGCTGTCTCTCCTGCATATGAAGACTGATCATAACTGCATCCTGCGGTGCTGTTGTGAAGATCAAAGATGACAGCTTCAAGATGCACAGAACAGAGCCGGCCCACAGTAGACTCTCAACTATGTAACATACAAGACAGTGTCACAGACCACTATTGTCATTAACATCCTCTTAGAAAGTGAGGACTGAAACAATTGCCTACAGATAAATGACTGAACCACAGTAATCAGAGAAACAGTAACTTGAGGCAGTAACAGAAAAAGATGAACTAGAGTTTGACCAGAGTAACCTCAGTGGAAGGAGACTCTAAAGCCCCATTGAGTGAAGGTGACTGAAGGAAATGGGGATATTTCGCTCAGGGAAGAAGAATCCAGTGGCTTATGGAGTGTTTTGAGGGCAGCAGAAAGCAGAAGTAGGACCAACAAATAGGACTTACAAAGGGAGCTGATTTATAGTGGTCTAAGGGTGATATTCTCAGAGCTTGAGAGTGAAGCAGTGACGTTGATAAGGAGTGAGCTCCCTATCACTAGGGAACACAACAAGAGGCTGGCAGAGCATGTGGTAGGAAGGACAAAGAAGGAAGGCAGCAAGGTGGAGCGTGTGGACTGGATGACCTCGGAGGTCCCTTGTGGCTGGGCTCTGGAGCTTCTATAATCAGCGTTGTCTGCTCTGTCCCGCAGTACATGGGAAAGTGCAGGGTGGTGTACAGTACATGGCAAAGGACATGAGGACACCCCTGCCCATCTTACCTGGTTATCAATTTTCAGTTCCACCAGAGATGTGTTGTGTGGAAGGGCTTCCACCAGGCGCAGGATCCCAGCTCCAGAAATGAAGTTGGATTCCACATTCAGTGTCTTCAACACCTTGTTCACCTTGAGCATTTCAGCAAGGGCCTTAACCACAGAAGAAAAGTGGGGATGCCTGTGAGTCTCCCTGGGAAAGACTGTGAGACCTCTTGGGGAGATCCATAAATGCCAATGGGAAGAGGCAAGGTGATTTCCAGAACTTCCTTCACAAGCATGATTCTGTGTCTCTCCTCTCTTCCAACCCGCCCTTGTTCCTGAATACCCCCTCTGAAGAAGTCTATACTGTCTCACCTGCATCCATGGACCCTAGGACTTCCTTCTCTCTCCTGCCCAGCATCAGCTTTCACTGTGCTCTGTCAGTGGGGCTGCTTGCAGTTCCTGCGCATGACCTGTGCTTTCCCACAGCTTTACCTTCGCCCACTCCATCCTTGCCAACTGCAACACCTTTTCTGCTCACTCTCAAAACTTGCCCATCCTTCAATGTCATTCTCTATGTCCCCTTCTCCAAGAGCTTTTAATGACACCCCCAGCTAGCTGAGGCTGCCTCTTGAACCTCACAGAATTTATCTATAACTGCCTCTGGAACCCATATTCCTTGGTTCAGTTTTATTTTGTTTTGGGCACTGGGAATCAAAACCAAGACTTCTGCCACTGAGCTACATTCCCAACTCTTTTTATTTTTTATTTTGAGACAATGTCTCTCCAAGTTGCCCAGGCTGGCTTTGAACTTGTGATCATCCTGCCTCAGCTTCTAAAGTACCTGAGATTACAGGTATGTGCCACCACACCTGGCCACAGTCGCTTTTATGATTGTGTATCTTTCCATTAGGCTATTTTCCATGGTGGGCTGTAAAGTAACCTTAATATCCCATGTTGCTACAGGACCCACACAGTGCTCAGCACACAGTCAATCCTCAGGCAGTGCTCACTGAGTGACCAGCAGAGTCTTAACTCTCCCATGTGTGCTGGGCTCATCTCTTCTACTGTCCTGTTGAAATACCGCAGAGTTACTGTTTTCTTCTTCTGAGCACCAGAGAGCAGAAGAGGTGCTGGGAAACCACCTCACTCGGCAAATGACCAGGGCCCAGCTGGAAGAGAGCTCAGGTGGCCCTCAGCACGTTTCAGAGGGATTCAGCCAGAGGGTATAGATGACAATCAGAGCCTCTGACGGAAATGAGGTAATTAACAGTTGGTGGAAATGATGTGTCACAGGGAAAGAAGACACCAGCAGCTGAGTGGCCCAGGATATTGATAGGTGGGCTCTGTTGTCTGGAGTGACACCCCCAGCCAGCATGCCTGCCGTATTGTGTTGCCCATGTGCTGAAACCTAGGAGAGCCCCAGCTGCCTGGAAGCCTTCTGTGCTGAAGTTATCACCCTTGGGGTGTGTCAGCTTGCCCTATGACCAGGTCTGCCTTCTGAGGAGGTGCTGAGGGGCCCTGTCTGTGTCCTTTCTGTGGCTCCACAGTACTGCCTGGACCCCAGGAAAGGTCTGGCCTGGCCTGGCCTCACCATCCAAGTAGCTAACAACCAGTAAGGCAGGTATGCCAGGTGTCGGGGCTGCAAATGCTGGCAGTTTGAGCAAGTCCTAGAGGTCCTTTCTTGCCACATGCTAACTCCTCCCAAGGTGGATCACAGAGGAGGGCATAAGGTGGGGGCATTTACAGAGCCCTGGAAGTGGGTTTTGTAACCATCCCAGAAACATTTCAGTATTTGGCACTGTGTATGCAGGTATGAATGGGCTGACACCATCTGTCAGTCTTAGCACAGAGTCCACATCCAAAAACATTTGTGGCATTGAGCTGAGTGCCAGCATAGATGTGCCTATTTTCTGATCTATCACCTAGTAGTATATGGGTCATGTGGCTTTGCCAGCTGTGTCACCATTAGCAAACTCAGGATCCACTGAAGTCAGGGTCATTGATCCAGAGGTTCTCCGCTGGCAGCAATGGGAGATTGTAAGCTATTTCTATCATTCCAAAAATATTGAAGAAAATTCTGTCACTTCAAAAATATTGAAGAAAATTGTCCTACCTATTTTAAAAATGAGAAAAAAATTTTCTGTTTGCTTCTAAATGGTTAATCACCATCCCTGGTAAGCTAATTCCTGTACTTTCTATCTGTTCCTAGTGTTATAGCAATTCACTGTGCTGTTTTCATAGGTGTCCATATGGCCAAGAGGACCAGTGTGTTCATGAGCTTGGGAGCTGAGACTGTTTGGTCACAGTTGGGTTCTCAGAGCCTGCTGGGCCCAGAGACTGTCAATAAATGTGCTTTGAATGTTTTTTTTTAAAGAAGAATTAATGTAATAAGTACAATTTAATTTTATCATCAGTATTGGTCAAGACATGAGTTAAAAAAATAAAATTGGTTATTGGACTCCATTGATGAAGACAATGGTTTTATAGATGGACAAACTGAGGTCCAGGAGCCTTTTCCAAAGATGAGTTACTGAGTACAGAGTGATCTGGCCGTAGGGTCACATGATTTCATTTGAGTGCCAGGTCAGCCTTTCTCTTGCTGTGTGACTTTGGACCAAGCAAGTGAACTCTAGTTCTTCATGCAGATTGGGGAGACCCGCCCCTCTGGGAGCAGGGTGGCTGTGAGGATTAGCTGGTTGATGATAGGTAGTGCTGGGTGATGGCTGTCCATTCATATCCCTTCCTGGCTCCTAGTCTGGTCCTGTCACCACACCACACAGGGCTCTTCAAAGGGGTAAACAACTGGCCCTGAGGCCATATGCCCAACCTGCCTGTGTCTAGGTCCCTCACCGTCCACACAGCAGAACAGTGATTACATACAAACGCCACAGGGTCATTGCTCCGTGTCCCAACGATGCTGAATTTTTTCACATAGGAGTTTTCTTTCAGGGCTTCTGCATATTCCTTAAGGGTGGGGATGGGGATATTCTGCAAAAAGAAAGGAGCAGGATGACCAGCAGCACTTGCCAGGGGCAGCGGGGAGCCTGGCTCCTCTGAGTCCTAGCAAGTCTCTGGCCAAAAGGCTGAACGTGCTTTGATCCTGATGGCTAAGATTTGGGGAGAACTCTCTAGTACACAGACAGAAAATAACACCTGAAAGTTTTAGATAGGACCCACAACTCTTTTCTGTACATGTGGAGGGCAATGGAGAGGGACAAATCAAGGCATGGAGATAGGAAGAGTGTTATGCAAAGGGCTCAGGATTAGGGGTAGAGGTGGGGCTGGGGCCTGGCCTCCACCTCAGCCACTAGCAAAGTGTCTGTATCGCTGTGTGACTCTGGAGAACTCTCTTTCTCTATATATACCTGTTTCTAGAAAACAGGAGAGGAGTTGCAGTAGACACAAAGAATGATCAAGGCCAAGGTTCTTCTCTGGCCACACATCAGCAGGTCCTGGTGAATTCGTGTACCACGCTGAGGCTCAGGCCTGCCCCAGACAACACAGCCAGTCTCTGGAGGTGGGCCTGGGCATTGGTACATGTGCTTTCCTCTCCTCAAGTGAAAACCACTGATCTGATCCACCTGTCTCACGGTACAGACAGGAACTGGCCAAGGGCTCAGAATGCAGTTCATTGCCAGAATGCACAATTCTGAATTGTGCCAGTGTTTCCCTACGGTGCACAGCAGACAACTGAGGCACAGAGAGAGGACCTGGCTGTGTTTTTGCCAAGCTCTCATTTCAGAGCGTCACTTAAGCTCCCAAGGGAGTAGAGCAGGAGAGCCAGGTGGAGGAAAACACTGGGGCGCAGGGTTCCAATCTGATTGTGCCTCAGTACTGGCAGCCACTGAAAGGGAAATGGAGAAGAAGGGAAAGAGGAGAGCAGCTAGGGGCTGGCTTCTTGTCTTGCTCCCCTCCACCCTCTTAGAACTAATCCCATGGCCTTGGGCTGAGCAGGTGGATAGGCAGCTGCTCCTGACCCAGAATTCCTCCTGCAGCCTGTCTGGGTTTGGAGGGGGGCTGCCCAACTACCAGTCCCTCCTCTGCCTGGCTGTTCACACAGGGAAACGTCACAGAGATGTGGGCAGACAGCTTGGGTATTTCTTGGGACATCTGGACCAACAGCTCCCTTCTATAGCTGTAAAATGAGGTTGATGTGAACATGGCCCAGCAGCTGCAGTGATGGTTTGGGGCAGGGCCTTCCCAGGGTATGGTGACCACACAAGCTGGTGGGCACTGGGCTCTTCAGCCTTGAGATCTCGTGCTGCAGCATGGGTCTGACTCACAGTTTAATCTCAGAGAATCTTTGTGTTTTGAATAACATGGCAGGTTTCCAGATCAGAGCTGGGTTGGTCCCTGCTGAACATCTGGGCCTGAAATCATCCTCCAAAAGAAACCCGGACTATGGGATGTGCTTGTTTACACTGTTCAGCACGTGCACCCCCCGCCCCCGTAAAGGTTTGCTACTATTCCTGATACATCTAGAGGACAAACAGGGCCTTGTTGCTCTGCACAGCCTGGTCCATTGGTATCTGGGTGACATGGAGATGCCCCACCACCACCACACACACATATACGCACAGGTGAAGTGAAATAAAGGGACTTTACCCGGATATTATTGAGGTTAACTTCTTCAAGATCTGGGTCATTTTTCTTTATCCGGTCCAGAGTTTCCTCTACATCTGTTGAATTTGGTTCCTCGTCAGGCACAGGCTTGTATTGTGTAGGTTTAATCACACCTGGGGTGATTAGCAAAATACAAGGATATTTTGAAAGGAAGTGTAGGCAGGGTTTGGGTCCATGGGAAGGCTGCATGTTGCAGGGGTTACCCAGGTGCCGTACATCAGAGGAAGCCCTCCAAGGAAGCCAGAAGGTTTGGCCCTCTTTGGCGGCTGCCTTTGGCTTCCTGCATACTTAAACTTCCTGAATTTCTTAAGCTCTCTGAACCTCAAGCTCTCACCTATAAGGTGGAGACAGTCGTTCCACCTGTGCTCACTACTTCAATGGGCTCTTGTGAGAACAAGGTGAAGCCCTGGGGGAGCGGGGAAGGACAGTTACTCTTCTGACACCCTTGTTTCTCTTTGGGGCCCAAACAGCAGCTTGGAACAATGAAGTGGCATAAAGAAAGTGGTATTGGCCCAGGAACGGATAAAGGGAGTCGTGGAACAGTGGAACAGGAGAGGAAAGCAGAAACTGACGCTAAAGGAGGCAATCTAGCCCAGCGGTAAAAGGCTAAATTTGCAAAGAATGGTGTGGGGACAACTGTCTGTCCATTTAAAAAATGGAATTTTCTCTCATCCCACAGCACACACAAACATGAACTCCAGGTGGATTAAGAAGTGAATATATGAAGTAAACCTCTAAAACTTTTAGAAGAAAATACAGAAGAATTGTGCTACTGGGATGAAGAAGAGAAACAAAATACAAAATCCCAGAAGACTCAAAGGGAAAGATGGACATATTTGATTACATACATTTTTAGAACTCCTGTAATGAGCCAGTGCATCAGCAAGCAGAAGAAACAAGACAGGAGAATGAGCCTCTCTTCCAAGGTGCCCTCTGTAAGCCGGCTGTGGGGCCTGGCAAGGGTGAGGACGCCAGGAAGTCAGGGCCTGGTACTCACTGTTGAGTCCCTCCTTGTTCACGATGGAGCTGCTACCCAGGGCCTGGTAGTACTGCTGGTTGCTCATGAGCGTGTGCATGCCCAGAATAGCTGAAGGGGGAAAAAGAAGGCCAATGACTCTGTTCTCTCAAAGATGTCTTCTGGGGACCCACCTCCCACATCTCAAGAACTTTGCTCACAGAAATGGCAAGAAGCACTTACATGAATACTTTCAAACGTGAGATTGTTTTTACTCTCAGATCTGCATCCATTCTGGACTTCTCTCTGTGCTGACCTCATGTTCCTAGGTTCCCCTGAGGTCCCACTGGCATGTTCCACCCAACATAGCCCAACAGAAGAAATCTTTTCCAGCAGGGGCTCCATGCTATGGCCCCCCTTCCCCCTGGGCACCCTCTCCCCCAAGCCATTCAGCCTCCTTACGTCTCTCACATTCCCCCACCTCTCATGATATCACCTCTGTCCTGGTTGAGGCCCTATCATTTCTTGGATGCACAGATGCCTCCTGACTTACAATGGTTCCACTTATGACTTTTGACTTTATGATGAGGTCAAAGTGATATGCATTCAGTATCAACGATACTTTGGATTTGGATCTTTTCCCAGGCTAGCTGTATTCAGTAAAATAATCTTTTGAGATGCTGGACAGTGGTAGGGAGCCACAGCTCCCAGTCAACCCCACAATTCTGAGGAAGATAAAAGATACTCTACAGTGTATTGTGTTCCTGAGCTATGGTATTTGGAAGCCTAGAGTATAAAATGGATTTGGACTTATGATATTTTAACTTACACTGGGGTTATCAGGAAACCACCAGAGTCAACGAGTACCCATATTATCACAGCTTTGGAATAACTGGTGTCCTAGCTTGCGTCTCTTCCTACCTTTTTCCTCCCAACAATCAGCACAGAGAAGCTAAGAAAAGCTTTCTAGAAATGCCAATATAGCTTCATCATCCCATGGTCAGCCATGCTTTCATCCATTCATTTACTGAATGTTCCCAGTGTGTGCCTGGGTGTGGGAGGAAGGGGGCCAGAGGAGAAGGAGAAAGACAAGGTCTTTGATCATGATAGTCTGCTGGGGGGAGAGGGGTGCTGAGCAAATCCCCACACCATTAAAAACAGAAACACAGGGTACAGTAGTGTTGAAAGGGAAAGTTCAGTGTGTTCTGGCTGGGACAGTGTAGAAAGAAGAAGAAGAAGGACTGTCTTTGGAGAGAAGGGTGACTAGTCAAGAGAAGTGAGGTAGGCGGGCGGGTGAGGTTGGAGGTTGGAGGGTGGTCATATCACAAGACAAGATGTGGGTATGTGGTAGTAATAATGACAGTGGTGGTCACAACATCCCCTAGTCCTAGAATACGTGCTCGGCAAGGAAAGAAGCTTTACATCAGCGATTCTCAACTTGGTTGCACACTGAAACACTTGTGCATCTTTTGAAAGTCCTCACATGCAAGCCTGCTCTGGACCAATTAACCTAAAGTCTCTGGAGTTGAGGCCTAGGCATATGCATTTTCTAAAGCTCCTCAGCAGTTTCAGTGGCTAGCTGAGGCTGAGAACCATTGCCCCACACTACCTTCCTTACTCTGCACAACCACCCTGCAGAGTAGATTTTATCACATGGGCAAGGGCAGATCCTAAGGAGTCTCCTGGGATGAAATAGGTGTTTGGATATCTTTTTCTAGGGAGGTCACTGAAGATTCGAGCAGGGAGTGAGGTGGTCTGAGCTCTGGTTGTGTTTGGAAAACACACTGCAGAGGGATGTAGGTTCAGGAACCATGAGCCTGTTGTAGCTGCCCTGATGCGGGGGATGGTGGCTTATGATGGCCAGGTTCAAACCTTAGAGCCTGGCTTCTCCCACCCTCCCTGGGCTGGCCTTGCCTCCATAGACTTGTCTCTCACCCACATTCCTCCTGCTCTGGCTACACAAACCACCAATGCTCAGATTCCCCTACCGATGCCAATGCTGTCCCTTCTGTGGGGGATTCTTCATACCCAGTGAAATTGGAATTTCAGATAGACAACTAAAAATATTGGTACAAGTATGCCCCATTCAATAGTTAGGATATACTTGTATTAAAAAATTATTGTTTGGGCTGGGGATTTAGCTCAGTGGTTTCGCTGCCTGCTGCGCAAGCACAAGGACCCGAGTTCGATCCCCAGTACCAAAAAAAAATTATTATTTATCTAAAATTCAAATTCAACTAGACATCCTGCATTTTATTTAATTACTCTAGCTCCCCCTCCTTCAAGACTTGTAGTAACCCTTCCTTCACCAGTGAGCCTTTCTGGATTCCTCCTGGCCCCTCTTCATTTCTCGCATAACCTGGTGTTCGTATTACAGCACAGAGTACCCGGTGTTAGCAATATCTAGATACATGCATACTTCCACTGCTGGGCTGTGGGCTTCTAGAGGTCAGGGAAGAATATTATTTCTCTCTCTTCCATCTCTTCCAGAATAAATTTATATATTTGGTTATTAATTATTTGGTGATGATTTTTTTAAGTCTCTAAGCCATTTAATTAGGTACGGTTACCAGTTAGAGAAACAATACAAGAGCTCTCATGAAGAGTCTGGAGACCCAAGTTCTAGTCCTCACGATGTCCCAGTGTGACCTTGGGCATGTCCTCTCCTCCCTTCGGGCTTCAGCTTCCTTGATCCTACCGGGGGCAGGATAAGACCAGTGGCTCTCAATCGGAGCCACCCATGCAAATCACCCAGGAAGCTTGCTCTGCCCTTGACTAACCTGTCCAAGTCTCTGGAGAGATGTTTCTTAATTTCCTTGGATGATTTTGATACTCCATGGGAACTGAGAACCACAAGATGAGATGATCTCAACGTCCCTGCTGCTTCTCACATCCCAAGAGTCTTTGCTAAAATTAGCCTTGCCTGTTCATCACTACAGAGGACTGGTAGGGAAAGAGGCATCTGCAGTTTTTCGAGCTCTCAAAGTTTTAATTTAGGCTGCATGGACGTGGGCAGCCGGAACTGAGGCCTGAGTCAGCGGCAGGTGAGTCAGATCATCAAATCACTTTCTGGAGTTGGCAACCCCAGCTCCCATACAGCAGCTCATGGTGGTTCTGGGTTGCTGGATTTTCAGGTTTAGAAACAGAATTTGGAAAGGTTGCCAGGAATCATGTGAAAGATATAACCTCATATGGCTGCTGGTCTTGCTTAAAATATATCAAGCCACACAACTATTTCTCATGTCTTTATCCGGTTTGATTTTTTACAATAAACATTTAAGGCAAGTGTTCTGAACCCCCATTTTCCAGGGATATAATTTATAAAACCTTTAAGAAAGGACCCTCCTGGCTTTTAAGTTAGTATTCCATCTATAGGTCATTAGCAATTCTATAGTTCTAACATGTTCTCTCAACTTGGGAACTAAGGACCAATTAAATATATTTTTAGAGGTAATATATATCAATAGCAGTCCTAAGAAGGAATAAAACCATTTGGTAACTGAGAGGAAATTAAGGCTCTCAAAAGTAAGGAAGAAAGGTTGGGAGGGAGGGAGGAAGGAAAGAAGGAAGGAAGAGAAGAAGAAAGGAAGAGAGAAAGGGAGGGAAAGAGTGGCTGAGGTCAACTGCCATTTTTGAGCACAGTGCCTGGGGTATCTGAGGCTAGCATCACCTTCGGCCAGCCCTAGGCACAAAATTGTAACTGTCTCCCTCACTTGTTTCCGTGTGCTCCATGCACTAAGAATGAGCAGTGGAAGAAAACAACATATCCACATTGCCTGCTGCTTCTTTCTTTGTAGATATTGGCAAGGCTGAATTTAGCACTGGAGAACTTGATTTTTTTTTAAAGTCTAGATCTTCCTCAAAACTCAAAAAGGACTATTTTTGAACTCTGAAAAAGAACACTGAGTTCTGCTTCCTTTCTCTGCCTTGGCAGGGTTCATTCCATTTGTAATTCCACTCGGGATGCAGGGTGATAACAGAACATATCCCCAGCTCCTCCAGCTGCCGACAGCTTGGGTTGGCGCTGGGCAGATGGCTGCAAGGTGTGTTCCCGAGTCCTGGGGCAGGTGGGAGAAACTGGCTGCAGCCCAGGACTTGGGTGCTGTGGAACTGCTCCTGGATGAGCCGCAACCTAACAGTTGTAGAATGAGTGGAGGACAGCTGCCAAAGGGGATGAAAGTAACCAGGGTTTAGGGCTGGTCTGTCTGGCTAGGACTGCTTCTGAGAGCCAAAAGAGCCAGGGCTAGCCAACTGCCCTTGGGGATGGGTGGCCTGGGGGTGTCCCTCTGAAGGTCTTCCTGTCCCATTCTCTTGTTGGGTCCTGCCTCACTGGACAGGTCCTTAAAGGCCAGCTAGTATTGCAATGGAGAGGAGGCCTGGGCACTGAAAATTCCAAGTGCTTACATCTGACTCTCAGTGGTCCCTGAGCTACAACCCAGGGCCACATGCCAAGTCTGTCAGGTTCCCATGAACTCTGCTCAGCACTCTGTGGGGACACTTTTAATACTGAAATGTACGTGGTTCTGGTGTGTCCTACTTATCACCTCTTGGACTCCTCAGGACAGAGACTGGATCTGATGTATCTTAGTGTACAGTAGGAGTTCCATAATATACTTTGACTCAATGAATGAATAAATGAATGAATGCACAAATGATGCAGCTTACCTGTGTCACACTCGAGTCAGTGAGGCACATCTGCTAGTGTCCTCCTACAGGTTTCTACTGTCACCAGATATCAAGCCCGCTACACACGGCAACAAAACAGCTCAGAAGGACCTGCCTCTTGTTCAGCCCGGAGCAGCACCACTGTCTGTGCTGCCCCCATCCTGGACCCTTCTCCCTGAGCTTTCTCTAGCTTATCCCTACTCACTTCCCTTAGGCCCCACTTCTGTATCTCTTCCCTCACCTCCCCATCTCCTTCCCAAGAGTTTCTCTCACACCCTATTCTTTTCCTGTTATGACACTCACTCTTGTCATTTCATATTTGCCTAGACTGCCTCCATGAGGACAGGAATCAGGCTGTTTCCTTAGGATTCTTTCACCAGGGCCTAGTATGGAGCTTGGCACACAGTAGGTAGGAAGCCTTAGGTAAAGCCCAGACTATGTGCTTGAGAGATCAGAGAAGGGTAAATTGATGGCAATGCCCTGCCTGGGAGCTCAGCAAGCAAACTACAGGTGATCTGGAGACTCCCGTCTCCTCCCTTCCCTGCTTGCCCTCCTCTGCTTAGTCATCCACACTCATGGCCACAGCCACCCACTCCTTCAGAAAGGCCCCAAAGCCCACCACAATTCTTTAGTGGGCTTGCCACCCCCAGCCCCTTTGGCAACAGTTCCAGCTACCATTTCATGTGGAGCCTTTGAAGTTAAGCCATGCAGGGCTGCTCTCCTTCAGCCACCCAGCTCCATATTCTGGCATGTAAGGCCACTGAGCCTGGCATTATCTGGGCCCCTTGACAGATAACCCAGCCCTAGGACCCAGCAGATCTCTTGTGAAATGGGAACAACAATGGAATTTACCCTATAGGATTGTTTTGATCGCTTAGTGCAACAACGTACTGAGAACAACTCACACGGCCGCTGGTGCTCAGCAAATGTTCCCTGCTTCCTTCCCCAGAGGCATTGCCACCTTTCAGTGGCTGACATCAAAGGACAGGCATCCAGGAACAGCCTGTCAACACTGGGACAGACTCAGCCCCCCACTCCTTCCCTGACATCAGAAGGGCACGGTATTAGGGACAGATAATAACAACCAGCCTGCCAACAAAAATGAAGAGAAATGGTTTCAAAACGCAATGCAGAACCTTAGCTCAGTGTCACAGTTCTGTTTTGGCTCAGAGGCGGGCAAGAGCCACGGTTCTGACAGCAGTCATTTGATAATCCCCCGGAGCTGCCTAATGAGGGGAGTGATGTCACGCAGGGTGACCACAGGAGAAGACTTAGGATAAAAACAGCTCTGCAGTGAGTCCATATGGAGATGTAGGACGGCAGCACCAGTCCTCTCTGCTGCACGGGTTAACCTGAAGCCAAGGGGACTCTCATCTACGGGTGGGCTTGAGGAAACATGAACAGAATGTAGGCTCTCATGTGACTCATGTGGCTTCTGACAAAGCACATCCTTAACTGCAAAGCAAGCCCGGCTCCTGAGTTCAGTGTTCAGGCCCACCTGGGTGAGGTAGGCACTGCTTCTGTGCTTCACGGGGGGAACAGAGACCATTCCATTCTCTCACAGCCTTCTGGCACTGCCCTTTGTCCTTCCCCATGTCTTTTGTCTCTTGAGGAAGGGGCTGTCTGGGTGTGGGCTACACATCTGCTTTCCTTATTCATTTTTTGGGTCCCTATTTGCTATGGCCACCCCTGTACAGGGTCACTCTTGGCACATAGTTGAATCACTGCCCCTCCTCCCATGGCCCTGCTACGTGAGTGCCATCTCCCTGCCCCAAATGTCACTATGGGTCACACGTGGCTCCCGCGAGAGGCCAAGAGGCTGATGGATGTGATGAGGTTGAGACAGCTGCAGCCTACCTGGCTTCTGGCCTCCTCGGTACCTCCGAGGTTTCCTACCAACCTGGAACCCTCATTCTGCCTCCTGGGTTCTTGGATCAGGTCTGCCTATCTTGACTTGGTGTTTGGCTCCAGCCCATTGGTGGCTAACTGGCCTCCATGCTAGGTTTGCCCCTTTTCCATGACTTGTCCCCCACGAAAGATTCCTATCCTGGCCCGGCACTGGTCCTCCAGAGCCCAGGTCCCTGCATGTGATCTTCCCTGACCTTGGTGACACTAACCATGCCCAGATCTCCATCCTGAATTCTAGAACTTCATATACAACCTTTTCCACCTTGGTGGCCCACATGGAACCTCAAACATCACAGGCCTAAAATCAAACTCAGTATTTCCCTGACTCCTGCTCCCCCTTCCTTAAGGGTACCAATATCCACTTAGTCTCTGTGGACAACCTTTTCACTTCCTGCAGGGACCTTACTCACAGCCAGTCTATCATGGTGGTCCCCTTCTTTCTTCCCCCAGGCCCACTGGCCTTCAGTATCTCCCTACCACCTCACCTTCCTTCTTGCCACAGCCTGGGTGATGGCTAGCAGCTCCCATGTCTGCTAACAAACAAACAAACAAACAAACACCCTCTCAATCACTGATCCAGGGTGCACTGTACAATGGGCAGCAAATCGAGTGTGGGATGTAAGTAGTCTTGGCGGATAGAACATAGGGCCTCTGGGGCAGAGACTGGACAGTGGCAAAGAGAGAGGGGCAGGCAGCACAGAACTCTGAATATCAGTCTACCTCCTGAGTTTTCTGGGTCGTTTGTAAAGATCATAAGGAAATGCACATAAAAGTAGAGAATGTTGGATAGATATGAAAGATAAGGGTGATACCTTAGAGTCCAGCTCAAAGTTGTAAAATCAGGTGTCTTTCCTCCATGCCCTATGTATGCCTCCCAACCTAGATAGGCCTGGGGTGCTCTGTTGGTTTCCTTCAGATGGCCTGGGCAGGATTTAATGCAATTGGCTGGGAAAGGGCCCTCCCTCCCCAGCTCTCCTGGGCACATACCTATCCCTCTGGGGAGGGGAATTTTATGGCAACAAGTGGCTCTGTGGGTGGGTGGGCTTGGATGCTTTTATCTTTATTTTCCTCAGTTTGGTTTTTCATAATGGATTTTTATTTTAGCACCATTGATGTCTTTTTTTTTGGTAACGGGGTTCAAACTCAGGACCTTGTGCTTGCGAGGCAGGTGTGGCACCACTGAGCTAAATCCCTGGCCCTGTTGATTTCTTGTTAGAAGGAGGATATACAAATCAAAATGAACCAAACAAGCATCCCTGCAGATATGTTTAAAACCTCTGGAAGACAAGGAGGAATCTTCTGGAATGCCTCTTACCTGCGATGTCACAGAGTTCTGCATCTGAGGCATTTGCTAAGGCCTCCTCCAGCTCCGGCTCTAGAGTGACAGTTTCCAGCACAGGATCCATTGGCTTCTGCTTAGGGACCCAGATCTTTCCTGTAAACATATGAGTGTATAACTATCAGGGTGTGTAACTGTGATGGGGAACCTCTGGCAATGGACTACAGCAGAGTCCTGTGGGTCTTCCCTGTGGACAGTCCCTCTGGGGATCAACTTCCCCACAGAATAGCATACTTAAACTTGATGATTTTATAACTTGGCCTAAGTACATTACTATCTACCGAAAACAAATGGCCAACTGCTAGGTAGGGAAAAAATACAACAGAAAATGTAATAGAGTGCCAGGGTTTGGGATACCTTAGCTAAGGGTTCTAATATGGAAGAAAAAGTTATAAACATTTCTAAATAAAATAAATAAAATACACTCAGATTATTAAAAGACAAAAAAAGAACAAAAATGTTTTCTTGCCTCATGGGACATTCTATTTTTAAAGTGTCAGGCTTATAACAGAATGAGGGAATAAAGTGGCAGGCGTGAGGATGGTCACTGTGTGTCCACTAGGAGGGACTGTTGAAGAAACTAGGGTGCAGCCCCACCTTGCTATGGCATTCCAGCAGTTATTATATAGGATGATGGAAAGAAGAAAAATGCCCAAGAACAATGTTGTGTGAAAAAACAACTATACAAAACATCATGAAAAAATTTCCTTCCATTTATGAGAAACTGAATATATGCTACGGTTTGTCTGTTGTCCCCTAGAGCTGAAGTGTTAGAAACAGAATCAGTAAATTCATGTGTTAATGGTATTTGGGGATGACACCTTGGGGAGGTAACTGGGATTAAATACTGTCATTAAGATGGGGCTCCCCTGATAGCATTAGTGACTTTATAAGAAGAGGAAGAGACATATTGAGTGCTTCTTACGTGCCAGGCCCTAAGATCAGGGACAAGACAGGATGCCCACGTTTACTGCTATTATTCAGCATTGTATTGTGAGTTCTCATCAGAGTAAATAGACAAGAAAAAGGAGTAGATTTCAGACTGAAAAGAAGTAAAATTATTTCTCTTTGCAGATGATATGCTCTTATATGGGCAAAACTGAATTTCCACATAGAAAAAAATGTTAGAACTAATAAATGCAGCAATTTTGCAGGGTTTAAGATCAACATACAAAAATAAACCATGTCTCTGTGTATCAGCAATGAACAATTTGAAAAGGAAATCAGGAAAACATTGCATTTACAATAGTATTCAAAGAATGAAACACTTGAGAATAAATTTGAAAGACTTGTGCACTGAAAACCATCCAACTTTGCTGAAAGAAATTAAAGAAGATCTAAATGAATGCAAAAAATATTATGAATTCATGAATTGGAGACATTAATATTATTAAGATGACAATAGTACCCAAAGTAATCTACAAATTCTATGTAATCCTAACTGACATTTCTTGCACAATAGGAAAAGCCTATCTTTGAATTTAATATGCAATAGCAAGGGGCCACAAATAGCCAAACCATCTTGAACAAAATTAGAAGACTCATACTTATTGCATTTAAAACTTAACTAAGTGGTGTGGTACTGGCATAAGAACAGATATCTAGACAATGGAATAGGATTGCAAGTCCAGAAACAAAGCTAAATATCAGTGGCATATTGATTTTCAATGACCGTGCCAAGTTCATTCAATGGCAAAAAATTATCTCTTCAATAACCGCTAGCACAACTGGGTATTCACATACAAAAGAATGATACCCCATGGGCCTTTTACACAATGTCTCCTTCTGTGTGCCTTTTTATTTTATTATTTATTAAGCAGCTACTCAGTGCAGGGCACTGTGCTAATGCAATAGGGATGGAGGTGACAGACACAGAGGCAGAACCTGGCTCGCCCTGCTTACATTCTTGGGCTTGGGGAGATGAAAGGACTGGAAAGAGACAAGTAATTACACCATTAATCAAGTAAAATGAATGCTTTCACTCAACATATATTTATTAGGTGGCTTCTATGTGTGAATAAGGCATATTAGGTGGGGAGATATAATGCTAAACAAGGCAGATACAGTTCCTACAGTCATAGAGCTTGTGTTCCAAGGAAGTAACCCACAGGTGCATTAAACATTTACTTATTTTATCTCATTTATTCATCAACAACTGTCTGCTCGGCCCTACTGTATACCAGGGCCTGTGCTGACTAGGTGCTTGGAGTACCATGTGAGCAAAAACAGTCCAAATCCCTGCCCTCAGGAAGCATACCAGCTAGTGAGAAAGAAAGCTAATAAATGGATACAGTTAAAATGTGTATATGGAGGACACACACAGGCTTCTAGGGTGGAAAATTACCAAGGGAGAGCTGCAGGGGGACTGCGTGTGCTAGCAGAGTAGATAGGGAGGCTTCCCTGAGAGAGAAGACAGCACAGCTGAGACCTAAAGGATAATAACAGCTAATGCTTACATAGCATTCACTGTGTGCCAGATGCACTGCTAAGAGCTTTATATATATCCTCATGCACTTAATTCTCATAACAACCTCTGGAGGTTGGTAATATTATTTCCAATACCCTCATTTTATAACGGAGGTGATTTTCTTGATGTCACACAACTGGTAAGTAGAGAGAACCAGACTACAATTAAAGCAAGCCTAGCTCCAGAGTGTGTTTGTATCCACGATACTGCTTACAAAGGAGGAAGACAGCCAAGAGGACACTGTGGAGCTGGGCAGCAGAGCCAGTGTGCTGGATGTAGGGGTATGTGCAAAGGTCCTGAGGTGGAAAAGAGCTTGGAATGTTTGAAGAACAGAGCTCAAACTTGTGTTCTCCCCTACTTGCTGCCCTCATGCCTGTGGGAAAGAATGACACAAGAGAAGGGCAGAATGGTTTGGAGAGCAATGGAAAGCCTGGAAGGGCAAACAGTTGGTGAGTATCTCTCTGTTCCCCTGGGGACTGCTAGATGGCTTGTCTTAGACTAGAGCAGAGAGTCTTGCAGGAATGTTGCAGAGAGGAACTTGCAGCTGCCAGAGAGGAACTTTGGAGAAAGAGTAGAGAGAAAGAGAGAGAGTAGGAAAAGTTAGGGTGATGCCTCTTCTTGTTTGCATAGGATTACCTTTGTTTGGGCCTCATGTCCTGCTACCATTATCAATAGTTTCTTCTTTCACTCTCAAGAGTATTTAGGTTTGAATGAAAAATAATCAGAACACCCTAGTCAGAGGAGATTTAAGGAAAAGTTTTGCTGTTCTGGGTGAATCTTTCCTTAGTCTATTCCCACACTTAAGCTACAGCATGCGTCAGTACTTTTGGAGTTGGGATTGTTTCTTGGCCCGACAGGGATGAAGACAAGGAGTTCCCCACACACTTGGCCCACTCAGGGCCTGGCACATAGGTGGCCTTCAGCCACCCCTGGAGAATGACATGTTCACAAGAGCAACATCATTCGGTACCTCGTTTCTCCCCTGTGTAGGGGACCAGGTCTTCTCGGTCCTTAAACTCCTTTGCTTGCTTTTCCAAGTGATCCAAGAGCTCCTCCCTTTTAAAGGGGCCTGTGGGCGCCTTGGTGGTCTGATCCTTCTGCCTCAGGCCCGCAGGCAGCAGTGCATTCTACGATGGACGTTGTTGGGGGCAGGAGAAAGAGGAGGAGGAGGAGAGAGAGAGAGAGAGAGAAAGAGAGAGAGAAAGAAAGAGAGTGGTCAGCTGAGGAAGGCTTGCAATTCAGAACCTCATCATTGACTAGCAGGGACCACCAAGCTATGGAATCCATCCAAGTCCCTCCTTTTACATGCAAAGAATTAGAAAGCCCAAAATGGACAGGGGCTGGCCCAAGGTCACACAGCAGTAAAGAGCAGGTGTTCTTGCCTCTAATGTTTTTAAAGGCAGGGGGTCAAGGTTCAGGGCAGCTGACATAGGCAGAATGCATGGGGCACTCAGAATGACTGTTGAGATGTAGATGGGATTAAGCTGATGTTCAGAGGCACAAAGATATTTATAGCGTTGTGTATCAAGAGATCAGAGAAAGAAGTCAAAGGGGGTTGAGGTAGGGCCTTGGATGGAGAATCACACATAAAGAGGCAGAATCCTCTCACCCCCAAATCAGGAGACAGGTCCAGTACAACCTTGAGGTGGCTAAGACCCTTGTGCAGCAGCCCCTATGGTTGCCTTCTAGCCTGTGACGGGTCTGTTCTCAGGAAACACTGACTGTTAAGTATTTTGAATGTTGCCCCCAGAGATGGATCTTTCAAGAAAAATAGCATCCATCAATTGTTGTGATCTCTTCTTCAAACAAAGGCAGGCTACTAGGTGTGGGCTTACTACTAAAGCAGTTTCCTAATTAGGGTGGATTTCAATCACCCAATGAGCTTCACTTTAACTCAGCCCCCAGAACCTTCAAGAGTCAAAGCTACCAGGGTGTTTAGAGATCATCTAAAGTATATATTTTCCCTTCAAGGGGAAACTGAGGCTCAGAGCAAGGAAAGACTTGTCTGAGTAATTTCAGGGACAAAAACCCAGGGTTCCTCCTCAGATCTGGGAGAAAGGAAATCTTCATCTCTACTCTTTGTGCTCCTTCTGCCCCCAGGCACTTAGAGAGCTAGAAGAGAATACCTGGAAGGCAGGTGCACAACTTCTTGCTGTACCCTCACATTGGCTAAACTGGGGAGTTGTTCCATCGCAAATCTTGATAGCACCAAAATGCTTATCTTCCATCATTCCCACTCTCTCCAAACCTTTTTCTAAACCCCCCTGGAGAGGGAGATGAGAGGCACATGGAAATGGCTGTGTGCCTGGCACCCAGAGGCATGAAGCCTGGGAGGTTGACAGGACCAGTCAGTGAGTGTGTGATTCCTAATGAGATTTTTCCCCACTGTCTAACCTCAGGCTGCTGTTTAAGGAAGAGTGGTGGCTGCAAATGGGGACAGCAGGTCCTGCCTTGGGGAGGGCTGTTGGTGATTAGGGCCCATAAAGTGCAAGGTCAACGTAAGGGGCTTGCTTTCTGGTACTGGAATATGTGCAAATGCATTTAAGCCCTCAGCCAGGAGGAACATTTGGGAAATGGAGCATTTAATGAGAAGACAATTAGGAGGTAGAAAATCAAGCCTTGACTAATTTGGGGGTGGGGATGAGAAATGTAAGTGAAGCCTCGCACATCTCAACTTTCCTTAATCAGCTGTTCTCAGATATTTTCCTCCATGCCAGGCAGGATGGTGATGCTCCTGGGTGAGCCATGCTTCTGTGGACAAAGTTAGATGGGGCCAGCTGTGTGTGTTCCTCCTACTCCCCCATGGCAGAGCACTCGCTATGGCATAAGTAAATGAAAGCCTACCTCACTGCCCTGCAAATGCCTGGATGTGATTACAGTATCCACAGTGAATACTCCAGCCTCTTTGTGACATACCTGCATGTCACAGTTGACCCCACATTAGCCTAAGCCACAACATTAATGATGATACAACTATACGATCTTGGACAAGTCCCCTAATTTCATGGTGCTATAGGTTCCATGGCAGTAATATGCGAATAATGACAGTCACTCTCTCACAGACTTGTTGAGGAAATTAAGTCAGATAACTCAGGAAGAGTGCTCAGCCCAGTGTCTGCAATAGTGAACACCGAAGAATCATGATTCCTTATTACTGTTATTATTCAACCAGAAAAAATGTACTTAAGCAGGAGATTGGCTGCCTGAAAATGTAGGTAATAGACAATACATTTCCCAAATATATTTTAAATTTAAAAAAAAATCCAAACACAAATACAAAATGAATTAAGTCCTGAAAGCAAGTGTTTCTGTTTTCTCAATGGTTCCCCCCAAGGGAATGCCTAAGAGTTTTGTCACTGTGGAGGGTTTTGATGGCACAGGAGGCTGGGGGATATTCTGCCCCCCCCAAAAGACTCAGTATTGTGATGAAAGAAATCTATGAAATTGCTTCTGGAATCTACCTGGTAGAGGCTGTTGATTTTGACTTCAGCACAAAGGCATCTTGAGCTGGCCATGTCCATGTGGAGGCTGTGCTGAGCACTGTAGGATATTAGCATCAGCTATGGTCTCTGTCTCATAGATTTCAGTAGGACTATCTCCCCAGTTATGACAACCAAAAATGTCTTTAGGGGCCAGGGATTTAGCTCAGTGGTTCTGCCACCTGCCTCACAAGTGCAAGGTCCCTAGTTCGATCCCTGGTACCAAAAAAAAAGGTCTCTAAATGCTGCCAAATGTCCTCTGAGGTACAAAATTGCCCCTGAGAACTAATGCATTGAACTGAAACCATATAATTATAATAGGGAAAATAAAGAACTATCTAATGTATTTTAAAAATATTACTTGTATGACTTGTTAAAATACACGTTCTTTCATTCAAAAATTGTTGAAAAGAATTAATTTTGATAATATAAAAACATGAAAAGTCTTTTTTTTAAACAATTTATAGTTTACCAACTTTTAAAAGTAAATATGGAGCATATCAGGCTCATTCAGAGCTACAGATTATTTTCTTTCCATTAAATGGTGTATTAATGAACTATCACAATTCTCAATTAAAGGAATTTGCCTATTTTAAAAATTCCTCATTATTATCATAACTTGTGATATTTTTGTAACTTGTAAACAGCATGTGATCTCACAAGTATATAAATTTTAACTAAGTAGATAAATTTTAATTTTATACAATTATAAAAATCTTAGAAGAAAGTGCAGGCATAATCACGGTGACTTTGGATTATGAAATGGTTTCTTAGATATAACACAAAAACGATAAGCAACAAATGAAGAAAATAGATGTATTGGACTTCATCATAATTAAAAACATTTGTGCTTCAAAGACACTAGTGAAAAGATAGATTAGAAGAGAATACAGTGTTTGTAAATCATATATTTGATAAGAATCTAGTATCCAGAATACATAAATATCTCTTATGACTCAGTGAGTCAAATAACCCAATGAGCAAAGGATCTGAACAGATATTTCTCCAAAGAACATATAAAAATGTCCAATAAGCTCAAGAAAAGATAGTCAAATCATTAACCACAAGGGAAATGCAAATCAAACCCAGAGTGAGATACTGCCTCACAGCCACTAGGAGAGTCATCATAAAAAGTACAGATAATGACCAAGGTTGGAAGAATGTGGAGAAATTGGAACTTTTATACACTGCTGATAGGGATGTAAAATGATATGAGCCCTTTTGGGAAGAGCCTGTCAGTTTCTACAAAAGCTCAACATAGAGAATTATCATATGACTTGGAACTTGCTCTGGCAGGTGAAAAAGAATTAAAACCGTATGTTCATCCAAAAACTTGTTACATGAATGAATGTTCACAGCAGTAGTTCTCATACTGGCCCAAGATATAAACAAATCACATGTCCATCAACTGGCGAATGGAGAAACAAAATGTGGCAGATTCATACAAATGAATATTATTCAGCCATGAATTAAAAGGAAAAGAAGTACTACAACATTAATGAGCCCTGAAAGCATTATAAGTGAAAGGAACCAGATACAAATGCCCATGTATTTTAGGACTCTATTTATAGGGAATGTCCAGAAGAGTGCGTAAAGTCTGTAGAGACAGAAGGTAAATGAGTGGTTGCCTAGCGCTGCTGCTATGGACTGAGCTGTCATCCCTATCCTCTTTCACATACTAAAGCCCTAACCCCCAGCGTGACTGCATTTGGAGATGGGGCCCATAAGGAGGTCATCGAGATAAAGCGCTGATCCCACAGGGTTAGTGTTCTTAAAAGGGGAGACCCCAGACAGCTTCCTGGGCACCACCCTCCTCCCACCACCTGCCGTGAGAGGACACAGTAAAAAGGTAGCCACTGGTAAAAAGCCAAGAAGAGGTCCTCTGCCAGAAACTAATCTTGCTAGACCCTGATCTGGGACTTTCCACACTCCAGAGCTGTGAAAAAATAAGTTTCTAATGTTTAAGTCACCCAGTCTGTGGCATTTTATTATAGCAGCAGCCTGAGCTGATTAATACAGTTGGGAAAGATGGGAAGATGGAAAGATAGGTAATGGGTAAGACTCCCCCACCTCACTGCAATACTGGGGATTGAACTCAGGGCTTCATACATCCTAGGCAGGGGTCTGTATGCACACACCCACAATGTATTAAAAGGGCCGTAGACCCCTAACAACTTAGAGTTATAAAGCCCTAAGAGATCGTCTAGGTCAGTTTTTTCATTTTGGGGGAAAATGAGGCTTAAAAAACTGAAGTCACATAGCTTGATAGCCACTTAGCCAGGAAGCCTGGTTTTATATACAGATGGTCCTGTATATAATTAGCATGCTCGAGATCAATACAACTATCTTTAGACTGGTGGCTAATCATACCTAAAATATTCCTTAACCCAATTCTTCATAGTAACAAAAAATAAGTGATCTGATCACTTTTCACAAATAAGTCAACAATGTCCAAGGGCAAGGCAAGACATGCCTCCCTTGGGTTTGGCAGCAGGAGTGCTGGCGTCGTCTTCCATGATGGGAACACAGTTGCCTCCTTGGAAGAGACTGGAGCAGCGGTATGGCCTCTGTGTTGGATGCTGCCGGAATCCACAGCCAGGGAGGAAAAGGTCTTGCCTGAGGTCACACTCTGGTCTGATAGCCCAGGACTAGCAACGTCCATCCCTTGGCAAATGTTCATCCCTCCTGACTGCTTTCCTCTAGGAAAAAATCCTGGAAACCAGATGTGGCCTGGCCTGAGTGCCAGTTCTCTCCTAGTGCTGGAAGCCAGGCCTCTGCTCTTATCACACTGGTCTCTGTTTACATATGGAGAAACTAAGGCACAGAGAGGCACGGAGCTAGTGCTCTGGGGGAAGAATGAAATAGAGGTGGCTTAATGTCTTCAAACTCCCCTCCCATCCCTGACTCTTCTCCTCTCCTGTTTCAAACAGTTCACCACAAGCGTGTCCTAGACACCTGCCCTCCTCTCTTCCCTCCACCACAGCGGGGCCATCTTACTCATGCCCCAGTCATGACATCCTTTCAGAGAGCCCCTTTCTCTCCAGACACCCTCTACACATACCAAACACAGGTACTCTGGGCCTCCTTCTATGTTCATGTTCTCTCCAGAAAGAGCTGGGCCTTTGGCTCAGCCACCCTGACCTCACTGAGGGGCTGGTGAAACTCATCTTCCCCAGACTTCATGGGGCACTGAGGCTCACATCCAACTGTGGCCCAAATCCCATACTGGTTTGTGGTGGGAGCTGTTGGTGACAACAGCTTGCTTTGTCTTTCTCTGGCATTCATGGCACAAGAAAGACCAAGCCTTCCCTTTCCTGTTTTTCTCTAATCCTGCTTTTCTGCACCATGCACTGGGGAAAATATTCCCCGTTCTTGTTGTGCTGCGCACTGGGCTTCTTGAGACAATCGACATGCATTCCCTGCTCCAGAGGAGCTCACAGCCAGGAAGGAGATGTATAACCCAGCGTGGGCACCATACTCGGCTCTGAGCCTCCTGGGGGACCAGGAAGCAGGCAACAGGTGAAGAGAGGAAAGGAAGTGTTACAGGGAGAGCAGCAGTGCAGCACAGGCAGAGGCCCCGGAGATGGTGGGAACAGGGCTTGCTAGGGCAGGAGTGAGGCTGCAGTGTTCTGACAAGTCTCCATCCCTGGTCACCACCCTCGTTCAGGCCCTTGTGCCTCTTGCTAGGACCATCAGAACAGCCTCCTGGCTGGTCCCCCACCCTCAGGCCTCTCTCCTCCACTGCCTTCCCTGCGAGCACCCAGCCAGACCTCGGCACCACTACATGGGCCTGTGTCACTCCCCCACATGCTCACCAATCCCAAAGCTTTCTCTGACCTGCAGAATCACAACCACACTCATCAGGCAGACCACAGAGAGCTTTTCATGACTTGACCCCAACCTACCTCTACCTCCCTCCTCCTGGATCTGTTCCCTTCTTCAGTAGTCTGTTGTAGCCACTCTGGCTCGTTCATGTTCTGCAGCTGTGCCCCACCCTTACATACTGTCAAGCCTTTGCTCAGGCCGTGCCTCTGCCTGCCGTGCCACCCGTCTTTCTCCTCTGCATTCATCTTTTCCTTGGGTACCTGTGGGGGCCGCTGCAGTTCTCCCTCAAGGATCTGGTGATTCTCTTTCTAAACTGCCCAAGGCATCTTGCCAGCTTGTATATAATGTGTATCCCGTATCTCTTTCTGAGGAGACTTGGTGCCCCAAGCACTAGCTGGGATATTCCTTAGTCTTCCCTGAGTCCCAGCACCAAGCACAGGATGCAAGGAATTGCCCACAGCCTCAGGGCATGGGTGCTGCAGCTGAGAAAAGGACAGTATATTCTGGACATCCTGCCTCCACATCATACCTGCTGTCCTGAG